AGGCAAGGCTCATGTGGGCTTTATGAGGTATTTAACATGACAGAATTTTGTGTGCATGGATGTGAAAGTAGTGAGAGTGCTTGTGAACAGGGCAGTGAAAGTGCTTTTATAGTGGGCAGTGATCATTTTATCTAATGGATGTGATTATGGACTTCAAAGTGTTCCCAAACTTCAGAACGGCCTCTTTTTCTCGCTGGTTCCATTTTACTCACTATTCATCTGTGTTTCGGTATCTTTTTAATCTCTCTCTCTCTCTCACTCTCCCTCTCTCTCTCTCTCCTCAAACGACCCTCGAAGCGCACCCCGGGCTTTGCTGCATTTGAATCTTTTCCAGCAGTCACGCGGTTGTGTGCTGAAATGAAGCTTCGGACGTCATTGGTCACATGATCATTGTAGAACAAATCAAGCACCGACACAGTGATTCGAAGCAATGGGTGTCATTTTTTTGACACACGCCTCGAAGCTTCAGATTCAAGGGTGCCATCACTGTTGAGCAGCATGGTGACTCCAACTAACAAACCTCTGTTGTTGTGGAGAAGCTCCAGCTGTTCAACTTTCCCAGTCCTTTGTTTGAAGATCTTCCATTCCCTTTTCATTCAGTAAGTGTTGAATGTTTTTTTTTATCTTTGTGCTGGATGCAAACATTGTGTAGAGGCTTGTTTGGGGCTCATGCTAAAGCTAAGGTTTGTGTTAGCAGGCCACATTTTCTGTTTTTCAGTTGTAAATTCACTTGATAATGCCTGTGTTTGCAGAAGGACTTTTGTGGTGCCTTTTGTGGAGCAGAGAATCCCAGACGACCCTGTCCCCCGCAACTTCCTCCAGCTCATTCCCGGGGACCCCAAGCCGCTCCCAGGCCAACTTGGAGATATAATCCCTCCAGCGGCTCCTAGGACAACCCCGGGGTCTTGTCCCGGTAGGCCGTGCCTGGTACACCCCCAATGGGAGGCGTCCAGGGGGCATCCGGATCAGATTCCCGAACCACCTCAGCTGGCTCCTCTCAATGTGGAGGAGTAGCGGCTCTACTCCAAGCTCCTCCCGGATGGCCGAGCTCCTCACCCTGTCCAATAGAGCGTAGCTCGCCACCCTGCGAAGAAAGCTCATTTTCGCCGCTTGTATTCGCGACCTCATTCTTCTGGTCATTACCCACAGCTCATGACCATAGGTGAGGGTCGGGATGTAGACCGACCGCTAAACCTCTTCACCACTACAGTCCGGTACAGCGACCACATTACTGCTGCTGTCTGTCCCAGCCTGCGGTCGATCTCACGATCCCTCTTTCCATCACTCATCAACAAGACCCCGAGATACTTAAACTCCTACCTGGAGTGGGCATGCCATCCTTTTCCAGGCTAAGACCATGGACTCAGACTTGGAGGTGCTGATCCGCATACCAACCGCTTCACATTCAGCTGCGAACTGCTCCAGTGCGCGCTGGAGGCATGTGAGAACCTGAGAAGATTCTACATGTGTGTGATGTGATGGACATTCTACTGTGGGACTTACTCATTATCACCCGGCTTTCACATCTCTGTCTCTCCAAAAAAGGACTGGTTTGGCTGTTTTTATAATACCTTGGGACCCTTGAGGAGGCCGTGGGCCCACATGGACTCAAATTGATTCTTTTGTTTTTTCTTTTTGTATTTGTGTGTGGTGGGTTGTGGGTTGAATTACTTCTGTCTGTGTAGAGGTGGGATTTGTATTACATATTCATCTGTTCATCTTCGCAATAACACTAAAAAGGGTGCACCATCTTTGTTGTATTTCTTATTTGCTTGTCCGTTCATTCAGTATCGTCCAAGAAGTTCTCGTTCCCTGCGTTTTTTTATGAACTCAGTAGGAAAAAGGTCCTGCTGGATGTTATAAACAGACTGTTTATTAAAATTAACTGTTCTGTAAGATCAGTAATAGATGGAACCTGGTGAATATTTATTGATATGTTCCATAGTAATGCGTTGCAAACGTTTGACAGATCTAATAGAAAAATAGATCATGGTGCTGAAAGAGAAAAGATTCACAGGGATGAATAGTTTTCTTTTTCTGTGTCAATAAAGGGTTAAACCAGTAAACCAGTGTGTGTGAATGTGTGTACTGATGTTCTTTTCTCCTTCTTTCCTCAGTTCAGCACAAGGACACCTACCTACTCCTGTGCTCTGATACAGAGACAGAGGACCTGTTTGGACTGGACGGAGAAGAAATGTGGCACGCTGACTTCAGTCAGGGGAAAGCAGTGATGACCCTGCCAGAGTTTGCAGAACCTTTTTGCTTTCCAGAAGGATCCTATGAGGCGGCTGTAATTAATGTGGAAATCTGTAAACAAAACTTGGCTGCTTGTGTAAAAGCTTACAATCACCCGGCAGAACCAAAAGGTAAGACACGAGCGTCACTGCAGCACACAGTCATTCACAAATAAATAATACATATATTGGAAACACATAGAAAACCTTTATCAAAAATATATCAATACATCATTAATCATTTGAGAAAGTTCTACTCCATTTTACAGTCTAACAGATGAACGACTTCATCCACAGATGCCCCCCAAAGTTCCATCTACCCTGAGTACAGTGTGCAGCTGGGCACTGAAAACACCCTCATCTGTTACATCACTGGATTCTACCCTTCACATGTCAAAGTGTCGTGGACTAAGAACAACGTCAATGTGACGAGTGAAGCGACCCTCAGCAGATATCACGTTACTGATGATGGAACCTTCAAGCTGGTCTCTCGTCTGAGCTTCACTCCAGAGAAGAGCGACATCTACACCTGCACTGTGGAGCACACGGCCCTGGACAGACCACTGACCAAAACGTGGGGTGAGATTTAAACCTGCTTATAGACCTGATTTTTAATCAGTAACAGTGAACGCTGGTTATAGGTACATTGCGCCATGTTCAGACATCAAGATTGGCATTCAAAAATTAACTACACACATTAGAGTAAAATTATTTTAAACTGATGTAATCTCAACAAGTCTATAATAAAAATAAAATAAAAATAATTTCTCCTGGGCATAAAATGTGCCAAGGCCAAAATATAATATTTTTTACTGATTGGTTTGGCTGTCTCATACTGAGTTACTTTATATATTTGTTTAATAATGTGTTGTTAAGACCATTAAAAGCTTAATGTTCTGCCATTGTGGGCTTGGTGTTTCAAGCAACGTCAGACGCTCGCAGATGTAACTTACAGAAAGAGCTTTACTGATAGAAACAAAGTTCAAAGTCGTCGTCGATAACCAGGCAGTGTTCAGATCCAGAAGGCACACGAAACACACACAGACAAAGATCAGACAATGCATCAGTCCAAAAAAGGGAAAAGCAGGAGCGTGGTCGAAGGTGCAGGCAAATGGTCAAAATCCAAAATCAGAAACAATGCAGACAAATCCAAAGGGCAGAGTCACGGAAACGGAAGGCAAAGGTCATACACGAAATACACAACAATAGATAAACACTCAGTAGATCACAAATGTGAATACAATACCTCGCAACTTTACTAAGCTAAAGCCCGGGCTTATATACTACACTAAGTGTATCATATGACACACAACACAGGTGATTCACATCAAAACTCCAGAGACCTGGAGCGCTGATAGGAGCGTGGAGTCAGGTGAGATGTCATGTGACTTCCCAGAGGATTCTGGGAGATGGAGTCCGAATCTACAAGGGGGTTTGGAGAATGTGTGACACTTGGCACATTTTTTTTAGCCCAAGAGTGTATATTCAAAATCAGTATTATACATGTTTTTTATGAGTAAACAACCTGAATAAGTAGAATATACAGACTTATTTTTATGTGTGCTTGTTGTACAGATGTGCAGGTGGCTCTGCCCAGTGTGGGTCTGACTGTGTACTGTGGAGCGGGTCTGGCTGCAGGACTGCTGGGAGTCGCTATTGGAGGTTTCTTCCTCGTCAAAGGAAACAACTGTAACTGAGAGTCTGACTGTAAACAATACAGAAACATTACAATATTAATTTGTGTGGCTGAAGCTCGTTTGTTTTCTATTTATTTACATTTTATCACTTTCCATTAATGTATTTTTTTGTTCTGTACCATCTTTCTATGCTGGAATATGGAGTCTAATGGTAATCAAGCATTTGCTAGCCTACTTAAATCCACCAAAACTTAAATGATTCTATATCTTTACATATTGTGATGATATATTCCCACAGTATGGTTTAACCATACTGAGTTAACTGAGTTTCTATAAGTAGGTGAATGGAGTTAAAATCAACAGGGTTAATTCAAATGTAAAAGAAACCAAATCACATTTCAAATGCTAAAAAAAGATGAATGTAAAAAAAACGTAATATATGATTAGACTTGTTTCAACTGAATGTGAAGAGCTTTTTATTGTACACTGTTTTTACTGGATATGGACCAAACAACATCACATCCTTTGCAGTGTGGTGTGCTAACAGCTAAGGTTAGCAAGTTTACAAGATTTGAATTAAATCTGAGAACTGGAGAATCAGCTTTGATATCAGATCTCACTCATTTGCAATTGATCTGATGTTGCGTAATTTGGACATGTCTCCATCCTGCTTTCAAATTGATCTTGAAATGAAACATTGCTATGGACTACTCTGTAACACTGAACACACTTGAGAAGCAGGATACAAGTGTTTTATTAAGAGCCATGATCACAAAAATGCAGTCTAAGGAAGAAATAAAGAAGCCAGGGAAAAAACTGCAAAGAAGCTAACAGCACTAACAGGGCTACAACAACAACAACAACAACAACAACAACAACAACAAAGCCATTCAAAGAGCAAGACAAATGCAAGGGACATGAATACTGGGAAAAATGAACAAGGAACAAACACTTCAGGCTTGACTAAAGGGAAAAGCAAGGGCTGAGCCAGAAAACCAAAACAAAGAGAAGCACACAGCCAGAAACATGAGGAAGGTAAACCAGTAGGGAAAACAAAAATAAAGGCAAAGCTGGGCCGGATATTATGGAATCTAGGTTTGTAAGAGTCGGATAGGACAGAAACTCTGTTCATCATTTAGAAAATCGGAACAGCCAGGTAAAGAAAGGCTGAAAAAACATTCGAGCCATACATACCCGCCACTAGGAGGCCCACTGTGAATCTCACAACTCAGCAGTGGCTTAAAAGAAGAGCAAAGTCACTGTAAGTTAGACCATGGAGATATATTTATGAATTAAACAAGCTACAAACAGTTCTGTTGTTATTGTCATGCTAACAAGTCCTTATATTGAGGAAACTTTCATGCCCAGTGATGCTTAAGTATCTCTGTTTGTGGATTACAGCAGTTAGATAGTGTGGTGGTGGTGTGTTTTGCGGGTCAGTGTATTGTTTTGATGATGTTTGTGTGAGAGAAGCCGCTGGTATATGTTTGGTTTTTGTTCGTAGAAGGCCTTCTCTTATTCTTTTTATTCTTTTTACCCATTTTATTTTCTTGTTATTTTCTCCCTGTGAACTTCTACTGTGATTTAGGCCGATGACTATTCTGGATTCGCAGTCAAAACAGAATACAGCTCTGTGCTACATTCAGGAATATTTGAAATTAGTGAATGTTTATTTATTTACTTATTTATTTTGTATTTGTTTTGGTATGTATTACTAATTTTGACAGTTGTTAATTTTTAAATTAAATCATTTGCTGACTTAGCTGAAATATGTTTTTGCTTCTGGACTCACTCTTTTGCTTTTGACTTTTGGCACTTTTAACAGGCTACAGGTCTTTGAAGAGGCCACTTGCACTTTCTATTGGTCAGCTGGTTTGGAGTCACAGGTCTTCTGAACACATAGCCACGCTCACTCTGAGAGCTGTGATGATCTACATTGAACATGGTGGAGCACGCCGTACTCATTGTAGAACCGCCAGAGAGGATTGTGCTGGCTTGTCCGACATTATAAGCAATGTTTATCACATTTATTCATGTAACACACATTCAGGGTCCTGTGTCACTCTGTGTAAAATAGCTATATATTTTTGAAACAGAAGTATTTATGGAAACTTAGCTGTTGAACGAAGCTCTACCACCTTTTGGGTTTGCCACCGCTAGCACTAACTAGCCCAGCTGTGTCCGCTAAATGGCTAACTAGACGAGCTTCGCAGTAGTCTAGATCAGTGTTTCTTAACCCTTCCTCTGGAAACCTGTAACTCCATATGGCTCGATGCCTTGCTGTCTGCACTGTCTCATAAGTCAGTGACTTAGAAGGCCACTCTGTCAGTGGATCTGTCAGGCAGCGTTTTATACGAGCTTTAGATTCGGACATTGGCTGACTGCCTTCCTGCATCAGAATGCTGTATGAGTAGGCAGTGTTTATTACATTTCAGACGCAGCTGTTATGTCAGTCTTTTCTTGTTTCTACCCACAGAATGCCTCCGTGTCAGTCACTGAAATTGCTTTCTGTCTCAGCACATAGATTATAAGATACTGCTGCTCCAAATCACTTCACATTAATACAGTACACTAATGTTAGATATTTAAACAGTTTAGTTTTATTACACTGCTAGGCTAGTCAGTGCTACATATAGCATTTACAAACCTTAAAGGTGGTACAAATTTGCTCAACAACAGGTTTATAATCTTCAATGCCTAAAATAACAGTTATATCATTTGATAAAGGAACCTAATGTGTGTGATAATAATTTTAAAGGAATATGATGAACATTCTCCATGACCCAGAAGGAGAAGCGGCTCAGAAGATGATAAACGTTGTTCATAATGTCTGGCATGCAAGTACAACACTGAACCCATGGCACCACTCTGGGGGCAGTTCAAGCTGAGTGGTTATGTGTTCAGAAGGCCTGTCACACCAAATTAGTTGAACAATAGAAAGTGTAGGTGAAGACCCATTTCTAAGACCAGCCCCCTGCCAAAGATCAGAAGCAAAAGAAAGATTTTAGTAGCAAAGCAGTGATTCCAGAAGCAAAAACACAATTCAGCAAATAGAAAAAAGCAAAGACTGGTAAAAAGATCAAAATGAATGAACATGAGTAGTAGTCTTTTTGAAAAATTTAGGATTGATTTAATTCTTATTATTTGTTTTTTGAACATGTTTTAGAGAGTTTGATATTTAACATTTTACTTGTGGATTTTATTATTTTATCTGAAACTTTTGGCACAAAATTAACTCCATAAATGTTAGCTGCCTATATACACTATATTGCCAAAAGTATTCACTCACCCATCCAAATCATTGAATTCAGGTGTTCCAATCACTTCCATGGCCACAGGTGTATAAACCAAGCCCCTAGGCCTGCAGACTGCTTCTACAAACATGTGTGAAAGAATGGGTCGCTCTCAGGAGCGATGCCACCTGTGCAACAAGTCCAGTCGTGAAATTTCCTCACTACTAAATATTCCACAGTCAACTGTCAGTGGGATTATAACAAAGCAGAAGCGATTCGGAATGACAGCAACTCAGCCACTAAGTGGTTGGCCACATAAAATGACAGAGTGGGGTCAGCGGATGCTGAGGCGCACAGTGCGCAGAGGTCGCCAACTTTCTGCAGAGTCAATCGCTACAGACCTCCAAACTTCATGTGGCCTTCAGATTAGCTCAAGAACAGCGTAGAGAGCTTCATGGAATGGGTTTCCATGGCCGAGCAGCTGCATCACCAAGCGCAATGCAAAGCATCGAATGCAGTGGTGTAAAGCGCCGCCACTGGACTCTAGAGCAGTGGAGACTGTTCTCTGGAGTGATGAATCACGCTTCTCCATCTGGGATTTCAATGGGCAAGTCTGGGTTTGGCGGTTGCCAGGAGAACGGTGCTTGTCTGACTGCACTGTGCCGAGTGTAAAGTTTGGTGGAGGGGGGATGATGGTGTGGGGCTATTTTTCAGGAGTTGGGCTCGGCCCCTTAGTTCCAGTGAAAGGAACTCTTAATGCTTCAGCAGACCAAGAGATTTTGGACAATTTCATGCTCCCAACTTTGTGGGAACAGTTTGTGGACGGCCCCTTCCTGTTCCAACATGACTGCACACCAGTGCACAAAGCAAGGTCCATAAAGACATGGATGAGCGAGTTTGGTGTGGAAGAACTTGACTGGCCTGCACAGAGTCCTGACCTCAACCCGATAGAACACCTTTGGGATGAATTAGAGTGGAGACTGTGAGCCAGGCCTTCTCGTCCAACATCAGTGTCTGACCTCACAAATGCGCTTCTGGAAGAATGGTCAAAAATTCCCATAAACACTCCTAACCCTTGTGGAAAGCCTTCCCAGAAGAGTTGAAGCTGTTATAGCTGCAAAGGGTGGGCCGGCATCATATTAAACCCTATGGGTTAAGAATGGGATGTCACTCAAGTTCATATGCGTGTAAAGGCAGCCGAGCGAATACGTTTGGAAATATAGTGTATGTAGCCAGTTAGGTAGGTACCGTTAGGTGCTAGCTGGCTAAGTTAACCTAAGGGAAAGGATCCAGGCTACAGGCTCTGTAAAATATACAGTGTTGTCAGCAAAGAATAAGACTAAAGAAATAGTGAACAGGAGAACTGCCAATCAGCAACACTCAAGTGGTTGGGATAATGGGCAGGTCACTTCTAACTATACACATTCTCTTCATGGTTAACAAGCCCAGCATCAGTCCTCCAGCCAGTAGTTAAGAACAGCCCAGCAGTCCAACATCAGTCCTCCAGCCAGTACTTAAGAACAGCCCAGCATCAGTCCTCCAGCCAGTAGTTATGAACAGCGTAGCATCAGGCCTCCAGTCAGTAGTTAAGAACAGCCCAGCTTCAGTCCTCCAGACAGTAGTTATGAACAGCCCAGCAGTCCAACATCAGGCTGCCAGTCAGTAGTTAAGAACAGCCTAGCAGTCCAACATCAGTCATCCAGCCAGTACTGAGGAACAGCCCAGGATCAGGCGTCCAACAAGTAGTGAGGAACACCCCAGCATCAGGCCTCCAGCCTGTATTGCAGAATGCCCCAGAATCTGCCATGCAGTCAGTAGAAAGTGACACCCCAACATCAGCCCTCCAGACAGGAGCAACTCAGCCAGTTTCAAGCCGTGCCTTAGCCCTACATCCAGTGGACAGCCATGTGCTGGCATTAGTTCTAAAGCCACTGCTAAACAGCAGGGGACAGTATGCTGTAACACTTCAAATGTATAACACTAACAACTTTAAGTAGTTAAGAAACTAAATGTTTAAAATACATAAATAAATAAATAAAAACAGGGGATGTTTTGGTATAGCCATTCATGACCTTAATGAAAGCTGCTTCTCTTAAGATTAAGCACACTAAAGCCTACATTTACAATTATACAATACGTTAAACTCAGCAAATATAGGAAACTGTGCACACAAATTTGCAGAAAATGGCATATTAAAGTGTATTGTGTGTAGAGAATGTGTTAATTTACTTTCACTTGAAAAATCAACAAAACGTGTAATTTGACCAGGGCTATTTGCATAACATGTTACATAACCAAAGTCTTGCTTACAACTTTAAGTAATTGCAATTTGGGTGAGCCATACAGGAGTTTCAACTTTTTTATGCCTAGTCCAAGCCTGCCTTCTAGGTTTCAGTGGGCAAAAATGCTTTTGCATTAACACTTGCCAGAGAAAGGTAACAGATTGTTTCTTATTTGCAAAGCAATTTAATTAGGAAATAATGTTGGGTTTCCATATAGCATTGTAGTAATTCAGCTACATAGTGTGGCTTCATGGCAATGGCCTTTCTCACCTTTTTGCCCAAGGGCAAGAGCAAGGTCATTGTTCACTCTGAACCATGTTCTGGATGCTGTGTGTTCTTTTCATGACCTCTACATTTAAGCATGAGTGGTGATTGTTGCATGATTAAGTGGGTTGTGTTCAGGTTAAAATAAGCGGTTTGCTTGTTGTTTGTTTAAAAATGAGTATGATGGTTGCTTTACTGTTTAAATGTAAAGCAGCGAAACAGTGCAACAATGATCATGAGTTAAATGTGAGAATGTCAGTTTTAATGGGACCTGTGTGATTATATACAAAAGTTTGAACACCCCGGTCAAATCACACATTTTGCTGATTTGTTAAGTGAAACTAAGTTAAAAGTTTTAACATTAAGAGGAAGAATTCCAATGTTAGTGTTGACTACATAATGATTAGCCTGAAGTTTTAAAAGTTTGTGATAGTGATTGTCTAATCCTTTTTTTTTCTCCAGTATGTTTCTGGAAAACGTTCAAGTGATTCAGGGCTCACAGAATCCACTGTGGCTATGCATCCTTAAAATAAGGTAAGAAAAGTATGGCAAATGTATCATGACTTTTAAGGCTTCATAACACCTTAATAACCTCTTTGTGTGGACATGGGCCTGCATGAACACTATATAATGTATATTCTAAATGGTCACAGCTATATTGACTGAGCTGCTTTTGTTATTTTTAAAGTTAACAGTCAACTGACCAATATTTGCCGACATAAGCTTGTGATATCAGACTTAGGGATGATTCCAAATTATATATGCAAGTAATGCATTTATCATTTTGATTGTGTAATTCAATTGAATGCCACACTGATTAATGCGTTCCCCTGCCACAGAGCCTCACAGCAAGGAGGGCCTGGGTTTGATTCCCGGCCGGGCGACCAGGGTCCTTTCTGTGTGGAGTTTGCCTGTTCTCCCCGTGTCTGCGTGGGTTTCCTTCGGGTACTCCGGTTTCCTCCCACAGTCCAAAGACATGCAGTCAGGCTGATTGGAAATGCTGAATTGCCCCTAGGTGTGAGTGAGTGTGTGTGATTGTATACGTATGTCTGTCTGTCTGCCCTGCGATGGACTGGCAACCTGTCCAGGGTTTATCCTGCCTTCCACCCAATGACAGCTGGGATAGGCTCCAGCACCCCACCGCGACCCAGAAGGATAAGTGGTTTAGATGATGTATATGTATGTATAATTATTAATAGATTATCATTGCATAGCAGAATTTGTGCTACAAAGCATACTTACATATTTTATTTGTAGTTTATATAGTTTAGATAATTTGTGCAGCAACAATATAGTAAACCTAGTGAACCTAGGTGTTTACAGTGTTTATGACAGTTACAGTTACAAAATACCTTTGCAAAGTTTTCACCTTTATTCTGTTTCTAGTTTAAGGACGCTTTTTCCTGACTACTCTGAAACTCATGCATATAAGTGCAAGAATGCTCAAACTTTAAATCCAATTGTTTATTTGTAGTAATTAGGGTTTAAAGCTGTACAGCCCCAGTTTGCTGACTGTAACTCATGCAGCTGAGTTCAGTCAGAGATTAGATGGAGCTGAAGTTGACAGTAAAAGTGTTAGAATTAACACAGAATCATTTGAACATTTGGTTTGGTAAGTGTCTCTTATTAATTCTGTACTCATCTAACCTGAAATGCATTCTGCCTAGTAACCCGTGATGCAGTGCTGTGGCTGATTCTGATTGGTCAGTGAACTGAAGAGTCTGTATGTCACTCTCTGAAACTCTCTCAGTTGTTGTTGGATGTAGAGACACAATGTTGCTGATTCTGCAGCTGCTGCTCCTACTGACTCTGACTATAAGAACAGGTATGTTTGCATTTAAAATCATTTTATGAATGTTTAAATGTACACATTTTTTAGATTACATATTGATATACTACGGTACTATACAGGTATTTTCAGCCTCATGAGAAAATGATTTAATATAATGCATAGACAAGCGTGTTTTGCCTGCACAATAATACTGAAATAAGGATACATACTAATAAACATGAAAAGAGTAAACACTAATAATACAGTCTTGCATGAATTTGCATCCCCATCCATCAGTAGCACACCTGATTTAACTTGAAGGGCGACTGATAAAACTGATTTAACTTAACAAAGGACGTATTTTACTTAATAATACTGGACTTCCCCAAGGCTACATTTAAGGCTATTTGGCACTGAGGATTTATTTGCTCAGAAAAATACTAACATAAATATGAATGTTCAGTTTGTGAGCAAACTTAACTATTTCCACATCTCTACTCGAGTAAGTCTACTATTTAGTTACCATCTAAAACCTAGTTAATCTAATTAAATTAAAATTAAATTGGTTTAATAAATCATTCATTAAAACATATCAATTTATTCAAGCCTTTATTAAAATATATAACCTGAATCAAGCCTTCTTTATGGTAAATCAGTTTAATTAATCCTTCATTAAATTAAGTCAGTTTAATCAAACCCAGGGATGGAATTGTGGCAAAAGTCTTAGGGGTCCAAATATTACTAAGCAGCATGGATAGATTAATGACTGGACCAGTGGGACCAGTGCCTAGGGGCCTCAGGGTGCCTCTGACTACAAGGATGGTGGGGACTCAAATACTTCAGATGATCAAATGTAAGCATTAGATGATCTCATATAATAATAATAATAATAATCACATAATCTAATGTTGAACAAAGAAAGCATAGATCAGAAGACGGTTACACTGCATGAGGCCATTCATTTAGTGTTTCATGTCATTTTATTTCACATAAAAATTAAAACAGGTTTTCATGGTTTAATTTAGTCTCTCTTATCTTGAGTTCAGGACCTCCTCACTTTGATCAAATATTCATTCATCAGTTAAATCAGTTTAAACATTTTTACATAATATGTGTTTATATCGCCTCACAGCAAGAATGGCCTGGGTTCGATTCCCGGCCAGGTGACCAGGGTCCTTTCTGTGTGGAGTTTACCTGTTCTCCCCGTGTCTGCGTGGGTTTCCTCTGGGTACTCCGGTTTCCTCCCACAGTCCAAAGACATGCAGTCAGGCTGATTGGACATGCTGAATGGCCCCTAGGTGTGAGTGTGTGTGTGAATGTGTATGTCTGTCTGTCTGCCCTGCGATGGACTGGCGACCTGTCCAGGGTGTATCCTGCCTTCCGCCCAATGACAGCTGGGATGGGCTCCGGCACCCCACCACGACCCAGAAGGATAAGCGGTTTAGATGACGGATGGATGGATGGATGGATGGATGTGTTTATATAAAAAACAAATTATATATAGGGTAAATGTTAACAGTTATGCTTAAAAATAAGATAAAACCTGTTCAGACTTTAGAGTTCTCTGGGTTATTAAGTGAGCAAATTCAACTAAACACTAGGCGATTTCTTTATTGAATGCCATGTTTAAATTGAAATTAAATTAAATTAATTTTTTTGTTATTGTGACATTTTCTTTTTTCATTTTTAGATGGATATGATTGGTTCAGAGTAGCAGACTGCATCACCAGTTCATCAGATCTGAAAGCTGTGGAATTCATTGATACTTATTTTTTTATTAAGGCTCCATATGTACGGTTTAACAGCACTGTGGGGAAGTATGTAGGGCTCACTGAGTATGGACTGAAGACTGCAGAGTACTGGAACAAATTTTATCTACAGAAGGAGATTGATGAGCTGGAGAGGGTCTGCAAACCCAATCTACAAATGGACTACTCTAATATTCTGGATAAATCAGGTCAGTGATACACACAGACTGTACTGCTAAAAGAAAGCACTAGAACACATTAACAGCAGGAGAGTGCTCCGCTGTTTTGGAGAAAGCCGGTAGACAGCATGAAGCAGAGGTGCAGGAAAAATCAATGGTTTTTAAAAACATTTGTCGTGTTTTGATGCTAATATTTTTTAATGATTTAAAATAAAAAATGATATTAGATTTGAGATTCGGGCCTCGTCCACGTGGATCCACATATTTCTGCATTTTCATCTGTTTCTAAAAAAGTCGCCCGACTCATCATCGGTGTTTCTGAAATTTTAGTAATAAGTCAACCAATGAACTACAATTCCCAGAATCCTCCGCCTGCTCACATGACTCCGGACTTCACTACCCAGAATCCTCCGCCTGCTCACATGATTCTGGAAAGGTCATCAGGGGCCTATCACCGGTCAAGTTCGCCTGAGTATTAATGATCACCTGTGGGTTTGTCATATGACTTACCTAGCTAGTATATTAGCCCGGACTATAGTTAGGTTTGTTGTGAGGTATTGCTTTCCATTGTGAAACTACTGAGTGTTCTTCCTGCTGTGATTTGTCGCGTATGACCGTTTGCTTACCCTTTTTCTCGTTGACTCTGTTTTTGGATTTGCCCTTCTGTACTGTTGCCTGGTTTCTTGGATTTTTGGTTTTGACTATTTGCATGTATTTTGGACTTTGCTCTGTTTTTTCCCTTGTCGGTTTTGGTCGCCGTGTGTCTTCTGTTGTTTACTTTGGAACTGACCCATGCCTATTTTTTGACGGCGTTATACTTGCCAGAATCCCCAAGTAAAACTTCTTTTGTGTTTTATATCCGCGAGCGTCTGCTTACTGGTCAAACATTACAATTAACATGTTTTAAATGTAATATTACGATGTGTTTTGCAGCATTCAGGCAATATTTAATTAGTCAGTAAGTCATTATCTAATACACTTAAATGAACATACTTCTTCATGTGCTAAAGCTAGAGGAAATGTTAACCATGGCGTTTATAAAAGTATTTTTTTCTTAAGGTAGCAATTTTTAGGAGATTAATTCATTTACAAAATCACCTAAAACAAAGTTGTTCAGTTTCACGTAAGTGTCACACCTTCTGTAGCGGAGACCAACATCTCTCACTCCGTCCGGCACTCCAATTCCCAGAATTCACTGGGAGGTCACATGATCAGGAACTCTCAGCCATCCACCTATCAACGTTGGCGCTCACCTGAGTATTGATTGATTACACCTGGTTCTAGGACTATATATGTTTGTGTTCTAGTGCTTTGCCTTTGCGAAGTATTGTGACAATCCCTGTGCGCTACCGAGCCTTGTTTATGCGTAGTGACTTTCCGGTTTTTGAGATTTTGCCTGTTTCTGTTGACGACTTTAGCCTTATCCTTTTGATCACATACAATATAAGTAATTAAATAAATAAATGAATGAATGAATGAATGAATATTTATTTATTTATTTAATAAATAAATAAATAAATAAATAAATTCCATTTGTGGATAAAGTCCAAATCCACATGCACCTTATTTTTGTACTTGCGCTACGACCACAAATTCTCTTTTCGGCATGGAAATGGAAAGTATATGATCATATTTCATTATTATTATTGTTCAATAAAAAGGTTATTTTACTTATTCAATTTTATTTACTTATTTATATTTTTCATTGTTTATTTTTTTCTAGTTGGCTTATTTTTCAGTTGTATTTGGTCTAGTGACATTTATCAAAAAATACAAAAATTAAAATGACTTTAAATTAAAATGAAAATAACTTATTATAAATTATTTCTACTGGATTTGCTTCAATTACTGTTATATTTTTTTTCTATGTACAACCCCATTTCCAAAAAAATGTTGGGATGTTGTGCAGAATGTAGATATAAATGATGAAAAAGCAGAAGTTCTTTGCTATTTTATGTTGAGAAACGTTATTCTTGAATTGTTGCTCTATTTGCTTGTGCAGTCTTTCACAGAGTGGTGAACCCCTCCTCATCTTTACTTCTGAAAGACCCTCTGAGATGCTCTTTTTATACTCTATCATGTTACTGACCTGTTGACAATTAACCACCAGGTGTTTTTTAGCATTACACAACTTTACCAGTCTTTTGTTGCCCCCGTCCAAACTTTTTTGAAACGTGTTGTTGGCATCAAATTCAAAACTGGCAAAATTTTTCAAAAAATAATACAATTTCTCAGTTTCAACATCTGATATGTTGTCTTTGTACTATTTTCAATGAAATATAGGGTTTAAATAATTTGCACATCATTGCATTTTGTTTTTATTTAATTTTGCACAGCGTCCCAACTTTTTTGGAAATGGGGTTGTGGTTCTAAAGCACTTCAGGTTGCTACAGATTTAAATTATTTTATGATTATTAATAAATAATTACATTATTATTTTTGTATTTATAAAATAATAGCAATATCTCTATTTTTAAAAAGTTACACATTGTGAATGTTTGAGCATCACACCAGCTGTGTTTCAGCGTATTCGGTGTGACTGGGAAAAACATCAGAGACAGTGCCTGGTGAAAATGCTGTATTGAGCACATTTTGTCTAAATGCACTTATATGAGCAGCCACTTCATTAAACTCACTGTCCATTTTATCAGCTCCACTTACTATATAGGTGCACTTTGTAGTTCTACAGTTACAGACTGTAGTCCATCTGTTTCTCTGATACTTTGTTAGCCCTCTTTTACCCTGTTCTTCAGTGGTCAGGACCCCCATGGACCCTCACAGAGCAGGTACTATTTGGGTGGTGGATCATTCTCAGCACTGCAGTAACACTGATGTGGTGGTGGTGTGTTAGTGTGTGCTGTGCTGGTCTGAGTGGATCAGACACAGCAGTGCTGCTGGAGTTTTTAAACACCTCAGTGTCACTGCTGGACTGAGAATAGTCCACCAACCAAAAATATCCAGCCAAACAGCAGGAGCTGATAAAATAGGCAATGAGTGAAGAAACAAGGAGGTGGTTTTAATGAAGTGGCTGTATAAATGAAGGTTTTATAAACTGACTAATAATATTTCTGGTATTCTGTAGTGAAGCCAAGGGTCGAGCTCATGTCAGAACAGTCGGCCAGTGCTGGTCATCCAGCCATGCTGATGTGCAGCGCATATGGCTTCTACCCCAAAACCATCGATGTGTACTGGCTGAAAGACGGTAAAAAGGTGACCTCTGATATGGTTTCCATTGAGGAGATGGCTGATGGAGACTGGTACTACCAGGTCCACTCCCACCTGGAGTACACGCCCACATCTGGAGAGAAGATCTCCTGTGTGGTGGAGCACATCAGCTCCAAGGAGCCCCTCATCTACCACTGGGGTGAGAATAAACAGTTGAATAATTACAGACTTTACAGCCTGTTTACACTGAGACACTTCATACTTCTTGGGCTGAGCAGATTTCTCTTCTTTCAACAACACTCTGTAAGCATTTCAGTTATCTAATCATGAAAACTTGTAACCAACCTGTTTACCAGTATCAGGTATTCTCATGCCAGACAGTGTTTTTTGGTCATTCCTCCTCCTATCCCACTAGGGGGCTGTAGGGAGGTTGCCTTGTTTAGGTAAATAGAGGAAGCCAGGGAGGAATTAGTAGAGAATTTGACTTTCAGGCACATGTTCTCTCTGCTGGCTAATCTCCTTTTTGAGAAACCAAGTGTTTCAGGCTCATTGTAGGTATTTTCTTTCATTTATCTTTCTTTTGGATGTCTAAAAGGATATACTGTTTCCTGTCCATGTGTTTATGGGAGATCAAGTTGTGCTAACATGCTAATGCTAACAAGCTAATGCTAACAAGCTAATGCTAACATGCTAAAAGTATGGTGGTTGGGGACTCACTTTACCCTCTTATGCAGAGACAGATTTTTTATTGCATGAATGCTGAGGCTGTTGTTGGGAGAACCTGAGGACTATGTGAAGGTTTGCTGAGTCTTGGTTCATCGCTTCACACCGAGTTACCAGTGCTCTGCCTGGCTGACAGGCAAGTCCAAATCCACATGCACCTTATTTGCGCTACGACCACAAATTCTCTTTTCGGCATGGAAATGGAAAGTATGTGATCATATTTCATTATTATCATTAATAATAATAATAATAATAATAATAATATTATTATTATTGTTGTTCAATAAAAAGGTTATTTTACTTATTCATGTTTATTTGCTCATTTATATTTTTCATTGTTTATTTTTTTCTAGTTAGTTTATTTTTCAGTTGTATTTGGTCTAGTGACATTTATCAAAAAATACAAAATTAAAATGACTTTAATCAAATAACTTTTATTAATTTTTTCCTACTGGATTTGCTTGAATTTCTTTTATTCCCTGGATTACCATGTAACACAGAAACACAACACTGACGTAAGTCAGATGGATCTGTCTAACACAGATGCATTTATATGGGCAGGTGTAAATGCCCATGCAAAGCTGTGTAACTGGTTCCATATTTCTGACAATAAAAATGTCTTCATTTCTTCAAAGCTTCTCAATATTAAAATTGATATTAAATATTTGTGTTCACACAGATGGCTCTCTACCTGAGTCTGAGAGGAACAAGATTGCTATCGGAACTTCAGGGCTGGCGCTGGGGATCATCCTGTCAGCTGCTGGATTCATCTACTACAAGAAGAAATCCTCAGGTCAGTTCAGATAAGAGAGAGTGACCAGTAATGATCCATCTGGAGTATTGATGGGGTATTGATGTATTAATCTGATTCACCATAACAATTATTAATGTGTTTTACAGGCCGAAATCTGGTGCCGAGTTAAGCTCTGGTAAGCTTTAGACCATTTTTGTATGTACTGTTTTTTTTTTTATTATACTGACATATAGATTGCATCTGTATTAAAATAAAAAGTGAAGTATTCAGCTCTTACACATTTATCTGGATTCCTGCAGGTCTTTGTGATGATGAGGACACCTTTAATCTCAGGTGCAGAAGCAGAGGAGTCTAAGACATTTTGTCATCTGCATCCTGTTCATAGAATACATTTTACAGAGCTGTTTTACTTCTAAGATTCTTCACTAAAAGCACAAGCTTAATTATTTTCTTTTTAACATGTGATTAATGATGAGAGGAACACATTAGAGGCTCGTTAGAAATCATTCTTCACTGCAGACATTTATGTGAGTTATTTGTTTTAGAAGCAAATTGACAAACTATAGGATTAGTAAAAGGACCATTTATAGATCATACTCAAGGCTCAATTATTAGGTATGAATAATTATAGCACAGTTATACATTTACATTTACGTGTTGGACTCTGCCAGGGTTGTGCCTTGTCTCCACTCCTGTTTGTGATATTCATGGACAGGGTGTCAAGGCGTAGCCGAGGTCAAGAGGGCATTATGTGTGGAGGCCGGAGGGTGGTGTCACTGCTATTTGCAGATGATGATGTTCTTTTGGCTGGATCACATGGCTGCCTCCAGCGCTCACTGGAGCGGTTTGCAGCTGAATGTGAAGCGGTGGGTATGCGGATTAGCACCTCCAAGCCTGAATCCATGGTCCTAGCCCTGAAAAGGATGGCATGCCCACTCCAGGTAGGGGGAAAGGACTTGCCCCAGGTGGAGGAGTTTAAGTATCTCGGGGTCTTGTTGACGAGTGATGGGAAGAGGGATCGTGAGATCAGCTGCAGGCTGGGACAGGCAGCAGCAGCGGTCACTGTACCGGACTGTAGTGGTGAAGAGGGAGCTGAGCCATGAGGCGAAGCTCTCTGTTTACCGGTCGGTCTACATCCAGACCCTCACCTATGGTCATGAGCTGTGGGTAATGACCGAATGAATGAGATTGCGAATACAAACAGCAGAAATGGGCTTTCTTCGCAGGGTGGTGGGCTACACTCTACTGACTGGGTGAGGTGCTTGGTCATCTGGGAGGAGCTCGGAGTAGAGCCGCTACTCCTCCACATTGAAAGGAGCCAGCTAAGGTGGTTAGACGCCTCCCAGTGGGGGTGTACCAGGCACGGCCTACCGGGACAAGACCCTGGGGTTGTCCTAGGACCCGCTGGAGGGATTATGTCTCCAAGTTGGCCTGGGAGCGGCTTGGGGTCCCCGCGAATGAGCTGGAGGAAGTTGCGGGGGACAGGGTTGTCTGGGATTCTCTGCTCTACCAACTGCTACTGCGACCCTGTCTGGACTAAGCGGTTAACGATGATGATGATTTACATTTACTGTTGGAATGAGTAAATCTGGTCCTGTCTATTTAAAGAGCTCTTTAAATCTGCTTTTAGAATTATGCATTCCTTAACAGACCAGCATCAAAGGGTCAACAAACAAAAATCTATTATCATCGGGAGCTGTATAATATTTTAAAGTGGAGTGATTTTCTATGTATTTGACTGCTTTTAATAAACATTTCTTAAATATTTTGGGTTTAAAGTCTCTTAAATTTATGTAGTTTGAGTACTTATAGTTTTTATAAGCATAGATTTTATGAAATCATATAACCACATTTCAAATAAGTTGGGACGCTGTGCAGAATGTAAATAAAAATAGAATGCAATGATGTGCACATCATGTAAACAATATTTCTAAAGGAAAATAGTACAAAGATGACATATTAAATGTTGAAACTGAGAAATTTTATTGTTTTTTGTACAGAAAAGAGGGGGATATCCAGGAACTGTATCAGTATTACAGTTTATTCAGTAATGTTTTACAGTAACTACACTTACATGAATTCATTGTATAAACACTACAGTAACACTGTATTACAATAACATAATTATGCCAGGATGTTTAGTGTATATTTCACCATCCTATACATTACATGAAACTGAGCATAGATTTCATAAAATATTCAATAAGACGATTATCCTAAATGGTCTGTAACTACTTATCACTCTTATCTCATATTACTACTCTATTACCACTGATAATGTAATTTTACTGTAATATTACTGTGCAGTTCTTGAATGCTACAATGCTACTGAAATACGTTGCACAGATTTTATATTAATCATGAATGATTTATGGCCAAAACTATTTTGAAAAATAATAAAAATAATAAAAATAATTTGGATCTCTCTTTTGTAAGCTTACCTTAGTATTATAGGCTGTTTATTACCTCAATAGATTTTTGTTTATTGATTATCATAGCATGGAGTGTATTCATCACTAAATGAGTTTTTTGTTCCGACAACAGCGTTATACTGACTGCTAAGAGATGAACTATAACTCTGTTGGAAAAACCCTGTTGTATACACATTTTCATACTTGGATGTTTCTGTTTAGAACATCTGCACAGGAAGAAGAGAAAAGGAAATGTGTCATTCTGTCTTTATGGGAACATGGCACGCTTACGCACTGAAAGCAGAAAGAAAACTGCTCATGCGTTATTTATGTTAACCATTAATTGTGGAACTGAATGCTGCTGCCTCACTGAGAGATCCTAATCCATCACAGGCCTCTCAAATGTGTTCCTGGTGTCCCCTTTTTACACTCATCATGGTCACTGTAATTAAGAGCTGGTCATCCATTTTTATAATAGTAATAATAATGAATAATAATTGTTTTTGTAATAATTGCATTGTGCCTTTCTCAAATGCAAGCATTCTTTAAATTCTCAATAGCAACGAATAAAGCTTACATACACACACACATACATATACACACACACACACACACACACACACACACACACAGCACAAGTTTAACCTTCAACCTTTAACCTTACAAGAAACAGCACTAAAATGTTCTGAGCTTCAGATTTTTCAAATGTAAAACAGATAATTCCAATGAAAGAAAGTTAATTTTATATGATGAACTATATGATTCTGAATGCCTTATGATAAATTAATAACAGCAGCAAACATCACGTCTTATAATCCACAGAGTTACATAACTGTGTGTGACTCAGACACTCAGTCTGATCTCTCACAGGTCAAAGGTCTCAAAGATCTTGAGCAGGGGCTGCTGTAATGTGAAGGAAAGGAATCATGCACCCCCTAGCTGCTGCTAAACGCATTACACATAATAATCCTGAAGGCTGTATGGTGGCTTATATGGACCTTTTTTATTAAAAATGAGAGTTCCTTTGTTTACAGAAACTGTATGTAAACAACATTCTGTTAAAAATAAATATTACTTCTATTTTCTCTTTTCCTTAGTATGTTTGGTGTTTTGTGTGCAGATGATCAGTTCAAATCAGACCAGTTTATGAAAAAAACAAACAAAACTACTGAACAGGTTGAATTAACCGTATTAAAGGAGAACTATGTAAGATTTTGTAATGTTTTCTTTGTTCAAACTGAAAGAAGTATCATTACTGAGTCAAGAGAATAAAAACAGGCTAACATGGTGAGCGTGCGCTGCTGTGGGTCGCCTGTAATGAAATATTCAAATCAAATCGAATCAAATCACATTTATTGTCACATCACATTTACACAGGTGGAAGGTGAGTGAATCTTAATACAAAGAAAAAAAAATATATATATAGATAGATAGATAGATATAGATATATATATAGATATAGATATATTTCTTTTTTTCTTCTTATATATACATAAGAAGAAAAAAAGAAATATATATATACCAACTCAATATATATATATATATATACACAGAGTTGCCAATGTACATTTATATGTATATTTCCAATGTACAGTTGTACAGTAATAAGTTTTGAAATAAAACTATGAAATGTTCTATTGTACACATTCCATATGTGCAGTTATTCTGAGGTAGATAAATGTGTTGCAGGTACTCAGGGGACAGGATACTGATATAGGAATCTTCCAGATTAATCAAGATCTGGATAGAAGATGTACAAGATGTCAACCTATGTGTGTAAATACGGATTTGCTAGATTAGAGGTGCAGAAGATAAGAGTGAGTCTGATGAGATGTGGATGAGGTGTGGATTGTCCATGGAGATCATCATGATGATGACTCAGAGGTGCAGTGACAGGCCTATAGACCGATAAACCAGCACTACTGGCTGTTCAGTAGCCTGATGGCCCGGGGGAAGAAACTCAGAACCGGCTGGTTCTGGACTTTATGCTTCTGTACCTCCTCCCACTTGGCAGCTGTGAGAATAGACAGTGGCTTGGGTGAGTGGAGCCCTTTAGAATTCTCCTGGTTTTCCTCAGGCAGCGGCTGGTGTATAAATCCAGGAGGTTTGGGAGCTGGACCCCGGTGATGTGTTGGGCTGTCTGCACCACCCTCTGCAGAGCTTTCCGCTCAATGGCAGTGCAGTTTCCATACCAGGTGGTGATGGAGCCTGTTAGAATGCTCTCCACAGTACATGTGTAGAATGTTCTGAGGATTTGGGGGTTCATGCCAAACCTCCTCAGCCGCCTGAGGTAGAAGAGGAGCTGTTGTGGCTTCTTCGGATGGGGGCGATGACTCGCTGGTAGCGGGGACAGGGACTCTTTCCACGTGTGCGGTGTGATTTGCCTCGAAACGGGTGTAGAAAGCATTCAGCTCGTCTGGAAGTGCAGCGCTGATGTTATTCACGGAACACGTTTCCCTCTTAAAGTCCATTATTGTGTTTAGCCCCTCCCACAGGCTTCTTGTGTTGGTGGTGTTGAACTGTGACTCCACTTTAGCCCTGTACTTACGAAGAGCATAGCTGGCTTTTTTATACCCCTCTGTGTTTCCTGATTTAAAAGCAGCGGTATGCCCGTTCAGAGCAGCACGGATCTTACAGTTGAGCCATGGCTTCTAATTGGGGTAAACACCACCTGTTTTGTGGGCACAACATCCTCTATACACTTTCTGATGAACCCGGTAATTGAGTCTGCATATTCGTCAATGCTATTGTTTGATGCCTGTCGGGAAAATCTCCCAGTCTGTGTCATCAAAACAGTCCTGAAGCACTGAATCCGATTGGTCCGACCAGCGGTGGACCTCTCTGATGGTGGGCGCCTCACAGAAGGGGGAGTAGCAGGGGTCCAGCGTGCATGATTTTCGTGTGCTGCATGAGATGTGTTGGAACTACTTTGGAGCAACTTCCCTAAAGTTTGCTTTGTTGAAGTCCCCAGCAACAATGGAGGCGGCCTCCAGGCGCGCAGTCTCCTGCCTGTTAACAGCCTTGTACAGTTTCCCAAGCACCAGGTCTGTATCAGCCTGTGGTGGGATGTACATGGCGGTGACAATGACCCCAGAAATCTCTCTCGGCAGCCACATCGGTCTGCACGAGATGATTAGTTATTCCAGGTCCAGGGAGCAGAAAGACTCGATGAAATGTACATTCTTCTGATCACACCAAGCATTGTTGATCATAAAACCTCCCCCTTTGCTGTTCCCGGAGACGTCCTTTGTTCTGTCCGCGAGGTGCACAGAGAAGCCTGCGAGCTCAATGGCCTCGTTGGGAATCTCTGCTGATAGCCAGGTCTCTCTGAGGCAGATCATACAGCAGTCCCAT